CGGAGACAACAAGTCATTTGGATGTTTGCATTTTGTTCCGTAGATCTTCTTCACTTTTGCATTAATACCCACTGATTGCGAACTATAATCTCCGTCTATTATTTCCTACCTATTTGAGTTCTTATTTCTATTTATTCTTTTGTGCTCCATAAGTTTTTTCATTTCTTCTCTGGTTGAACTGAAAAACCTCCACACTATGGTTCTGAATTTTTTATGTCTATATCATCTTCTTTAGTAGTTTGACTGTCTGGACATGATGATACTGGGATGTCCAAATCAGGCCTATTCTGACTTACTAATCTGATAGTGGTTGTTCTGAGTTGTCAACATTACACGGTCAACACTTATGGGTTTCTCGTGAGTCGCGACCACCTATGTTCCTGCATGCCTCCTCGATTATAACTGCTTTTACTGACTATGGTGCAGGTATTCAGTTCCTGGATGCACATATGTGCTGTATTTGTCTTTGCAGAGAGCATTCTTAGATATGGTCTGTCACCATCAATCCTGGTAATTATTAATTTCCTCCACTGTTCTACCATGGCCAGTCTTATAATTTCATTATCTGACCGATAAATCTGTTGTTGTTTTTTGCGTCAATCAGTGTGTCGTTCTAGCACCGTCTACGCAGAGCGAAAAAAAAGTAAGGAACATCTTAGAAGAGCATTGTGGAAATGTCAATAGGTAATTCATTGCTTGGGTTGCAGTCAGTTGCGACGTTAGTTAGTTACAAGTCACTCATATTGTTTTGCTAATTGAACGTTTGAATTGCAGCAATGATTTCTGGAAATCTGACGATGATGGTCTCGGAGGTGAAATCCACCCTTATGTATCCTCCACCATGAATGTCGTGTGAGTATGAGCATATAGTGCTAGTGTGCTCCTGATATCTCCATGGAGGCAATGTTCTGGAGCAACTGTTCTTTCAGTAATCAACATATTTTTTCAATGCACTGTTATTGACTCATAACGTCGCATTAAGGGGATACAAGCGTAACGGATTCACACCCGGCCTCTGCAATATGAACGAACAAATTGTCACAACGCAAGTTTGGTCAATTTTTCGGTTTATATGTAGCTTATGTCCTAGAAATGAACCGACCCATTTGTAGCTTTGGGAATCTTTATTTTTTTGGCACAAGACGGAATTCCCGTGTTGGCTTTATAAATGTAAATATATATTTCTGGCACGATATGGAATTTCATTTATTTATAGTTACTCGTCACGATGAGAGTTTGAGTTGTGTTGTTGCAACTAGTTTGTGTTGGTAGCTGATACAACGTTGCATGCCATTTTTGCAAAAGTGATTAGAGGGACTAAAGATATTCACTAGGTATGTCAACATGCTTTAATCGCATGGAAATGAAGAAAAGGTACTTAGAAACCCTAAGCAAAGAGGAGGAAGCAAGGCGACATTTATTTATGCATTTATTCTCTATGTTGAGTAATAGGGAAGATATACTATTCAGAGGGTGTTCGATTAGAGTGGGATGAATGCCTAGCCTCCAAACGCATCTATGACAAAGAAATATGCCAATTAATTAATATTTTAAACGAAGTAAGTACATTGAGATGTGACAATTTTATTATCAATGAAGTGGTAACTTGGTCAACTACTAGGTGATAGCTTTTGACGAAAAAAGGTATGAAGATCCTACTAAGACAAAGTCGATTGAAAGAGTGTAAATTCGATGAGAGCTAAGACATTTTTCATTTTCAAATTCATAAAGAATTTTGATGATATCATATGTTTTGTCTCCTAGTATACGTGAAATACCAACCACGTGCACATCCAAGCCTCATTTCATGCAAGGTGCCATTGATCATCTCTAGTCGAACCGTCAAAATTTATCCCCTCAAAAGCCTCCTCAAATTTTAACTCCTCAAATTTGTGGAGTTAAGAAAAAGTGGTTCCCGTTGAAGTGTAGATATTGATTGCCTAACCCTTTTCATAAGTTCAGACTTTTGGTTGCGTTGGCTAATGCATGAAACTTAACATGACATCAGTGCCTAAGATATTGGTTCAAGTCCCGGCTTTCGCAATTTATCCAAAAATTGATGATGCCCCCTCTATGTCCACCCTAGGCCATCTTTTCAGGCTCAATAGTGGCGACGTGTTGCGTCCGCACTCTCTTTGGGGCATCGTCGTGGAGCTCTTGCCCCGTCTGATTGGTCTCCTATCTTTTACAGGTGTCCTTGTTGTCACTGTTTTCGGTCCTCATGATCTCCTAGCAAGATCAGTACTCCACATCCCACCAGAGGGTAGGCGCTAGTCTATTCTGGGCCGATGGTTACGGTAGCTTGTTGTTAGATGTTTTGTCTCCTCTTTTATTGTTCGACTTTGAATTTTGGCGTTGTAGCTTCCCTCTCATATGTCATTTTGTTTTGATTTGCTTGCATATAGCTTTCATTGCCCCATTATATCAGTTCAGCCTTATGGAGGAAAGCCTTTTTTGAGGTTTGCAGGACATGAATTCATTGAACAATCTCAAATTAAACTCAAATGATAAGTGTCACATGTGTGGCACGAAGCACTCCGGCCCTGACATTTTTTACAACTAAAGTTGCCATCCGAAAAGAAAAAACAAACAAAAAAACAGAAACTTGCCATCCAAAAAGGTAGTTTCCATGCTTGATAACCAAAGTTGACATCCTTGTGTCACTAAAATTGTCATAAAACGGAGTTGCCATGTGTTCGTGCCACACTTGTGGCACTTATTAGGGTCCTTAAACCCAAATTATATCGGCTTCCGGCTGGGTTTTTGGCACAACCTCTTCGCGATGCTTCGTGGGCCGAGATATGCTAGGGACGTGTTTGGTGGCCTTCCCGATCGAGCCTGGCTCAACGAAGCCTGACTGAGATAAGACAGGCAGAAAACTAACATCTGCACTTCGTTTGGTTGTCCGCATCTAGTCCTCTTTCCATGCAACACCTGTTGTCTGGTAACCTCTTCAGCGAGGTGGTGAGGTTACCAGAACACAGCAGTGTGAAGAATAAATTATACACACACAACAGAAGATAGTTGTAAACTATAGCAAGCCACAGTTTTAAATATAGTGCCACAGTTAAACATATCGGTTCAAACGCAAATTGGTACGATAAAAAACTAAACCAACTGGAGCATAGGAAGGATTGTTCTAGACGTTCACGGCGAAGGCGTCGTCATGCCTCCCGCACTTGGTTACCACTTCAATGTTGTCATCGTTGAGGATGACGACCTTGAGCGTGTCGGGAGTGAGCAGATTGAATGTCACCATGTAGCTGATCTTGATCTGATAGATGACTACGAAGGGGGCCCAACCCTGATCGAGGGTGACCCTTCCGTCCATCAGCCGGACAGTGACCCTCCATGAGCAGCCGGTGTTCGTCCTTAGCTTGAACTCTTGCGGCACAGCAGGGAAGTGCTTGCTGAAGTCTAGGGGTTTCCGGATGCACTCAAGCTGAGGGGAAAGGATCACCTTGCAGAAGTGGGTTGGACCACCCTCCTCCTAGTAGTGCTCGTACTTCCGTCGCTTCCTGTTATGGGGCCCCTCCGGCACTACGTCGTCATCCGTGGCCACCTCCTCAGGCGTGGTCGGCACAACCTTCATGGGCGGCACCACCTCCTTGCCCTTCTCCATGGGCAGCACCACCTCCTTGCCCTTGTTCTCCGTGTCGTTCTGCATTACAAAGAGCACGCATTATGAAGAGTACAAAGTTCCGAGGTTGATCGCCGTTAAAACCTATCATCCATAACCCCTTTATTTACCCATCCTCACGGTCACTACTTACCCACCATCTCACTAAGTTATGTTTGTCTCTCACTGTTCCTCGTATCCATCGCCATGAACTCCAGCAGCAGCTCCAACCCCATCCCCAACCCCTTCCCTTGGGGCATTGGATGGAGGGCTTTCTTCCTCGGGTGCTCGCTCGGTGACCGCACCAAGTTCGAGAACACCATGGAAGTCCGCTCGAACTTCACCAGCATGGCAAACATGCAGAAAGAGTCGGACGCTGTGGTGAAGAAGGCAACGCTGGAGGAGTTGAAGACGTTGATTCCTGACCCAACGAAGGGAGCTATGTTAGTTGACATCCTTTGCTAGGGCATGAAGATTTACTCCCAATACCCATAACCCTTGTACTTCATTCCCGATTGGTAACCTCAAATCTATTGGTACTAGGAACTCATGATGATGTTATGATCACTTATATGGCTATTTACCCCGATCCCCCATTCTTCTAACGTGAATCGAATGCGAATGAGTATGTGAGGAGGTGAAAAAATAACTTACGGCCATTGCCGAAGTGCGGGAGGTGATGATACCGATGCCGATGAAGGGGCCGGAGTCCGCCTTGTTGTTCTTCAATCTGCTGAAAGCCGCCGCCGCCGTCAGTGGGAGTGGAGAGAGAGGGGAGAGAGAGCGGTGAGGGGGCAGTGAGTGAGAGTGGAGAGAGAGGGGAGAGGCAGCGATGAGGGGCCAGTGAGGGTAATAACTGTTAGCGCTTCGGGAAGCAATATGGCTTCTCGAGCGTGGCTCCTCGCGTGGAGGCCCCACCGCCCACATGCATCGCACGAGTCTGGTTCTGGAGAAACTGTCGATTCCAGCGTTCCCAGCGAGGCAGGCTCAGATGTGCTTTGAGTTTCGTGCTATGCATGCAACCAAACGGGCCATAATTTTCCCGTGCGGGTCTAGTTGGCCTATATGCGGGCAACCAAACACGTCCTAAATCAGCAGACAGCAGGGCGACGACACTAATTTTTAAAAAAAGTATGACTAGGTCTCAGTCGACTGAGATTTAACCAAGTCTCTGTCAAGTGGCATAACATATAATGGAGAAAAAGAAAAAACTGAAAAAAAAATGCACGAATATTAATATAAGATCTAACGGGTATAGCATCGAATGGGACTTAGCAAGACTAAAAAAAAGCAGGGCTACGGCACAACGATAGCGACAGCGTCATTGTCCAGAGCACTCAGACGTGACGATAACGGGGCTCGCACCGGACAAACAACGGCCATGGCGGCAGTACCGTCCAAGCAATTTCCGCTAGTTAATTACACTCCACTCCACGGTCCACTTTGCGCACTGTACTCTCACCGGCCAGAGTCCCTCGCCCCCTTGGTCGCGTCGCCCCTCTCTACCGCCAGGCCGGCCGTCCGCCCACCTCGACTTCGCCTCCTCCGCTCCGGCGAGCCGTCGAACGGCGCAAGGTTCGATCCCCCAAATCAAACCCATCTCAGTGCGATTTCCATGTTCCCGCGATTACCTTTGTCTGCTTCGCTCTTCGATCTCTCGCAGGTTGTTGGGACCAGCCACATAATCTCAGATGGCTGAATCCTTTGTGCTCAACACCGGTGCAAGGATCCCATCAGTTGGCCTCGGCACGGCGACGGGGAAGGCCGAACCCGGCGTCGTACGGGACGCCGTCTACGCCGCCGTCAAGGTCACTTCTAAGCAGAATCTGTATAGCTTTTCTGCTGAACCACATCTAAGATGGATGATCTGTTGAATTCAAAATTAAGTTTCTTCACAAGTACTACTACCCATGTGCTACTCATTTTGTGTGGTTTAAAATGCTACCAAAGCCTGTCGTTGTTTCGATTTTGAAATACCAAAATGTACTCTTCTGTCCAGTACTGAAATTTTGATGTTTTGACAATACAGGCTGGATATCGGCATATCGACTGTGCTCCAGCGTACCGCAATGAGAAGGAGGTAATTAGTAATTACTTGAGCAGTAGCAGTCAATCAGATTTGATAGATGCCCCTTAGATGTGCTTGCTGTGGATTTTTATTCTTTTTACCAAATTAAATTAACTGGTCTGTACTCACTGAAAACATATGTGGTTCTAGATTTTACTGTAATAAAAATGGTTTGCTTGCACAGGAAATGTACATAATTCTTGTGCCCGAACCAATTGTCGATCAAGCGCACTATCTGTACTGCTGTGTTTTGTCTGTAAGACAAGGAACATGGTTCTTCTCTTTGTTCAAAAAATATGGATAATTACCAAATCAAAATATCAAATAAAGTGCCAAAAATTCTGAAAACATTCTCACCTGTACATGTGGGAAGGAATTATGAACCTGCAAAATTGATTGAAAAATATTTAGACATGTGGTCTGCTTAAAGAGAAGGCCACACTGTGACTCTTGATATCATTCCTGCATTCATATGTTGTCTGAACTCATGTAGTACTACAAAATTTATCCCTCCTCTACTCTTGTTGATTTTTATCAAAAGCTATGTTATGTTCTGTCACTAAGCTAACTGAATTGAAATATATGCCTTCTCACCTTTTATAGATTGGTCTCGCTCTCAAGAAATTATTTGATGAAGGCGTGGTTAAGCGTGAAGATCTATTTATCACTTCTAAGTTGTGGTTAGACTTCATGTTTTCAACCTCAGCTGCATCATTGATAAAGAAGCAGCTTATGTAATTTGCAGTGCTGCGTTTTCAAAAGATCTTTTAAATTTTGCAGGTCTGGTAACCAAGCCCCAGAAGATGTGCCGGAGGGCATTGACACCACTCTTGAAGATTTGCAGCTGGACTACTTAGACCTTTTCCTTGTAAATTTCTATGCATAATTGTCCATCTCTTATAGTGTATATAATGAAATTCCCTTCGCTCACATAATACTAAAAGTAGATGTATTATGCTTATTATGCAGTCTGAGAAACATTTTCAGCATGAATGTTTTTTTGTATTTGGTAGTAAAAACAATACTAAAATATTTTGTTTTCCGAAAAGGAGGTTGAAACCCCCGGCCTAGCTTTCACTGAACTATGAAGTGTATTCTCAAGCTCATCGTGGGAGAAATTGATTTTAACCGTGTGTATATGTGCCCAAGTTGTTTTGTTGATGATGTCCTATATTTTGCAGATCCATGCTCCACTTCGTTCGAAGAAAGGTGCCACCCCAGCCCCTGAAAACTTTCTTCCTGTTGACATTCCTGCTACTTGGGGAGCAATGGAGAAGTTATATGCCTCTGGCAAGGCCCGTGCGATCGGTGTGAGTAACTTTTCTTGTAAGAGGATGGAGGATTTGCTTGCCATTGCAAGTGTACCTCCAGCAGTCAACCAGGTTGAGTGCCATCCAGGTTGGCAGCAAATGAAACTCAGGGAACTTTGCCAGTCAAAGGGTGTTCATCTTTCTGTAAGTTTTAAACATCGCCAGTATAGCGGCGATTTCCCCTCGTTTTCAGTAACCTTGGTAGCTACTTTCTTTAAAATTACTCCACTTCTCTTGTTTGTTGTTCACAATTTTTTACTTTTGCTTTTGCAGGCATATTCACCCTTAGGAAAACATGGATCACCTGGATCCATGGGTCCAAGCTTTCTTAGCAATCCCATTGTCATCTCTGTTGCGGAGAAGTTAAACAAAACTCCTGCGCAGGTTGCCCTACGCTGGGGTCTTCAAATGGGCCAGAGTGTACTCCCGAAAAGCACCAATGAAACAAGAATAAAGGAGAACTTAAGCATATTTGACTGGTCTATCCCTGAAGATTTGATGGCGAATTTCTCTGAAATTCAGCAGGCATCTCTCAATTCCAGCCTTGTTATTTTGCTCCGTTGAAACAGAATTTTATCCGCATTATGATGTCTAATAATTTGCACATTCTCCCATCGGAGAAATGCAGTGCATGACAGCTTTACCTTCCTATATTTGTTATCTGATATTGTTTTGTCTTGCTAAATGCAGGTTAAGGTGCTAAGAGCTGAATTTGTGGTTCACCCCCAAGGTATTTTCAAAACCGTGGAGGATTTTTGGGATGGTGAAATCTGAAGCGTATGAAGTGCTGCACAGAAGGCATTGCATTCCAGCATGAAACCGTAGTCGTCGTCTGATTTTGTATTTGCATGTAGATGCTTCTTGTAGAGAAGAAACTGAAAGCATATTGGCTAGATCATCTGTCTTCCTCTGTAATTTTTACTGGTTTACTATGATTATCGGATCCCTTTATCCGGGAATATCTCATTTTCAAGTGTCAATACAGGCCGCTTCGTGATACCGAAGCTCATGGAATCTATAGTTGAGCCATGAAATCCCCTGGTTTACTCCATTTTCCACGTTTTACAATACTAGTAAATAGATACAATAAGAAAAAAAAAACTAATTCGGTACTGTAGTTGTTGATGAAATATTCTACAAACTTGGGTCAAACTTTACATTGTTTGGCTTCAAGCAAAATTTATACGCCTTATTTTCAAACACCGAGGGAGTAGAAAATAGTTCTGGTCTGATCATTTCTTTTTCGTTAGTGCTGTTAAGAATTGAAAACAATTGATATTCTGGCAGCTACCAGAAAATGGTGGTACATCTCTAAGGGCATCTCCAACGTGAATCCTCAAATTGGCCCCAAATATCCGGACTGGACGGTAATTAGACTTTTAGCGCTCCAACAAGGATCACCAAATGGGGCCAGACCGGCCCGGGTGTTTGAAATCCCACAGACCAACTTCAAACCGAGGAGATCTGGGTGAGTCCAGGCGTCCGCCATGGGAGAAATTCCCATGGCAAATTTAGGAAAATTATGTAGGGTTGAAATGAAATTAGGAAAAAAATGTTTTCTCTAGAAGTCATGGGAGAAATTTTTGTGGTGTTTACATGGCAATAATAGGAATGATGGTATCAGAAAAACATGGCAGTTATGGAGGGAAATGTAAATTGTTACATGGAAAATTTAGTATTTTTTGTGTTCTAAATCATGGCAAAATTAAAGAATGTTGTAATGGTCAGATGGCAAATGTAGGACTTTTTGTACTGCTCACATGGCATATTTTGGAAAATGTTTGTATTGCTCTTGCTCACATGAAAAAATTAGTGGGTATTTTTTGTTCTGCACATACAAAAAATCAATAATATAATAACAAGCATGACAACTTACGTAAAAAAGTAATCAATCCAGGGGAAAAGGGACAGCTCTCTCTCCCTCTCTCACATGAGAAGCTCTCTAGTCATGGAAAAACAAATATGAGGACATAAGGGGCCTGTTTGGTTGCAGTTTGCAACAGTAGTTGCATTGCATGTCCATCTCTAGCCAGCCTGGTTGCTGAAAAACAGCCTCATATGCAGTACATGCAACATGTTTGGTTGCCTGTATCGCATCGAGAGGCACTTGCCCCCTGCTGTTTGGTTGCCCGCATTTGTGCTTAGGGTGTGAGCAGATGCAAACTTCAGCCGTTTGATTGCAAACAACGTTTGTGTTCTGCTCACCTCATTCAAATGTGGTGGCCTTACCACCACACATGAACAGCACAACAGCAACATCACAATATCTAAGATCAAACAAAGCAAGCAATGTAATGACAGCAAACTTAACACAGCAAACTACTTAATTAGATAGCATAAGTCTAGATTAAGAGCAGGGGCATCCTCCTTCCCTGCTGTGCCAGGGTGCTGCTCCTGGCCAAAATATGAACAAGTTCCCAGCACAAGTCTCGTCACACACCCTAAAAGTTCTCCACTAACACCTGACTTAACTTAACTGCATAGCCTGCTCGATGCCACCAAGGCAGTTGTGCCTGCTGCAATGATACCTGCACATCACCGACGAGTCGTGGTTGTAGATCTAAACCTTCAGTTCGAGTCCGGAGATGCGCACAACGACGAGGTCGTCGGGGACGATGCGGTGGCGGCGGCAGAAGTAGTTCCACCCCCGGTCAAGCACCATGTGGCCCTCAAAGTTTTGGACCTGCACTCAGAACACGCGCCGCTTGTTGGCTGAGAGCCTGACCACGCGCGGGAGTCGCTTGATGACCAGCCAGGTGTTCATCACCTCCACGAACTTGGGAGGGACGACGAGCATGGCGAGGTCCTCGTTGTCCTTGATCCGCTGGTAGAATCTCATTGGCTCCCTGGCTCCCTCCTCGTGGCCCTGCCACGGAGATCGTCCCCTTGAACGAGGACACGCTCATGAAGGCGATCCTGCCAGGCAGGTCCACCGTCCTGAGCCACCTGTTCATGGGGATGAAATCCTCGGCGCGCTCAGCTCCGGCCACGACCTGAGCTCCTCCACCCGCCACATCCCAATCAGTCTTCAGTATCTTGTCAGGCAACATGACAAGTATTAGTATCAAGCAAGCAAGCAGGCAAATGCCACTGATAAGTGGCACTGATCAGTGGACTTGCCCAACAGCAAGTGCCACTGATTAGTGATGAATACTAGAATGCCCAACAGCAAGTGCCACTGATCAGTGGCATTTGCCCAACAACAAATCAGTGGCATGTGCTCATGGACAAATGGCAATGATCAGTGGCACTTGGTGTTGGGCAAGAGCACTAATCTACTTGCTGTAGTGCAAATGGCACTGATCAATGACACTAATCAGTGACTTGCCCAATAGCAAGTGCCATTGATAAGTGCCATTTTGCCCAACAGCAAGTGCCATTGATAAGTGGCATTTGCCTATCAATGACACTTGTTGTTGGGCAAGTCACTGATCAGTGCCATCTTCTTTGCTGCAACTGGCATTGATCACTGAACTATCCTAAACAAGGAAACATATAAAAATAGCAACAGCAAGTGCCAATAGCATCCATGTGCAGTCATGCAGATTTGGGACCATCCTAAAATGGTCCTACTACATGCACGTATAACATCCACTCATGGCACAAACCCTAGTTTCAACATGCAACATGAAACAATGACATGATCCTAACATGAACATGCCATCAGTCAACATGATTCTAGCATTCATCACTCAACATGAACATGATTCTAGTATGAACACAGCTACTAGCATGTAGCACAAATCTAGCATGTAGTAGGACTCGGACTAGCATGATTCTAGGATTCTAGCATGAACATGAATCTAGCATGTAACACAGCTACTAGTATTCTAGCATGAACACAAGCACTAGCACACGCACTGTACAAAACAAAAACAGATCAATCCGGCGGAGCAGAGGACGAGCCGGCCCCGGCGACGGCCTGCGGCATCGGCCCCGTGCTGAACGCCACGCCGGAGGTCGAGAAGGACGGCACACTGAGCGGAGAAAACCCTTGGACGGGGATCAAGAAAACCCCCGAGCCCAATGGCGTCCCAAGAAGGGGCGGCTCCGTCGACGGCGCCGGCGCCGAGCCCAGAACAACGAGGTCCGGAATCGGCGGCGGAGCAGGAGCGGCCGACACCGCATTGGCCGGCCTCGTGGAGGCCGGCAGCAGATGGGGGACGGCGCCCGCAGCGCCGAGGCCAGGTCGCGGCCCGAGTTCTGGAGCCCGACCAGCCATCGCTCCTGGATGCTGACGATGCGCTGGTCGACCGGGGTCAGAGGGCGGCGTGGCGGCGGGCGTGGCGGAGCCATCGGAGCAGAGGAGAGGAGAGGGAGGGGCGGTGCGGGAGAGAGAGGGAGCGATGGAAACAGTGCGCCTGGGCGGTGTGAGGAGAGTGGGGGACGAGTAATGAGACGTCGCCTCCATCTCCCGCGCTACCCGAGACGTGCAACTGCCCCGCACGCGCGGCCGCGCCTAGTCAGGCTCGCGAGAAACTGCCGATTCAGCAGTTCCCGCCGGGCCAGGCTGCAGGCTGCTTTGAGGTTCGTGTGGGCCTCAAATCGCATGCAGCCAACCAAACAGGCCGTGCACATTCCGCATGGACCTGGTTAGGCTGCATGCGGGCAACCAAACAGGCCCAAGCTGATCAACTCACGTCAAATGTCGAATATGTGTTCTGGACATGTTGCTTGCAACGGGTTATCCTTTTATAAACATATAAAAATCATCATAATCTGTTTCGCAAAATAGACACTCTAATTTGGCCTGGTATCGACAATATTGCACCATAGAATAGGGTGTGATGCGTGCGTATGTACGAGCGTTTGCGTTACTGTGTTTGGAAAAAAGACGGTATTGCATCGTAGAACTCATCATTACAACTTTGCGCTAATAAAACTTGGCACGGGAATATAAAAAAACAGTTTTGCTAGAGCACATCTAGATGTGCCATAAGTATTGCACATCTAAATTCTATATCATTGATCTTACGTCGAGATGCGTGTGGATATTTTTTTTCTTTTTTCTTTTCCTCTTTATGCTTGACTCACTTATTTAGATGTGCAATAATTAGAGCACATCTAGATATGCCTTAGACACACCCTATAAAAAACCTAGGCCGGCAGGTCCAGCAAAAAGAACTCCACCGGCCGCTTGATCGCCGCTCTCCGCCTTGTCGCATGCCCGCGTGGATCGATCAGCTTCCACTCCAACCCAATCACAGGTAACCACCCATCATTCGTCTGTTTTTCCGTCAGGATTAATTTCACTATGCATCAGCGCAGTAGTATAATTATTCTCAGCTTGAACTCTGAAGGACCCTCGTGATCCCTCGTAAATCCAAACTGTTGTTATCTTCCGTGCCTATGACTGGAGCAGCATCTTTATACCTGCTTGTTCTTTGATCTCTAGCAGGCTTTTGGAGAGATGGCCGAATCCTTCGTCCTCAACACCGGAGCAAGAATACCGTCAGTTGGCCTCGGCACGGCGAAAACAGAGCCCGGGACCGTCGGGGAGGCCGTCTACGCTGCCATCAAGGTTCTTTAATGGAATCTGTACAGATTTTCTCTGTTAATTGATCCAGATAAGCTTTGTAGATTGTAAGATTTGTTCAATTCAGATTTTAGGCCTGTGTAGCTGGGCACTTTCCTGTTGTTTGGCTAAAAAATCGCAAAAATAAAAATGTTATCCGACCTACCGGATTCGAACCAGTGACCTAAGGATTTATCTGCAACGACTACAGTCCTCCGCTCTACCAACTGAGCTAAGGTCGGTTTGTGTCAATCTGCGTGCACCTCGCTTCATAACCTCGCACTTCACCGTCTGAACAACGAGCATCCCATTCTTAAATTCGAATCTTAGTCGGACTTGAAGTGCTCACACGCTACAAATTGTGTGTGATTTAATCTGGAGCGGGGTGTACATGCAGCAAGCAACACAATTGGTTATAAGTTCTTTTTCCAGGAAATTGGTTATGAGGTTATCTCTATGGTTCCAAAATTCCATCAGTTTAGCCTACGAACACTTAGTTTTTGGCACTTTTTGCTTCTATTCTCGCTAAATTATACTTTTACATTCTCTTTCGCCCTTCCTCTTTTCTACCGAAGCTCCGCCACTGGATTTAAGCTCTGGAAAATGCTACTGAAGCGTACCATATAATCTTAAGCTTGAAACATGAAACTATATACTATCTCACCCAAGTCTAACAATTTGATGCACTTACAATGCAGGCTGGATATCGGCATATTGATTGCGCTCCAGCGTACCGCAATGAGAAGGAGGTAATACTTGAGCCATAGCTTTCTATAAGATCAGGAAAATGATAGGCTCATGAAATGTTGGTGGTTAGTCATCAGAGTATGACACTCATGACATCATTATTATTTTTATCTGAAGTAATTTCTGCTACACAAAACTGTCCATCTGTAAGACTGTAACCGTTATGTTTTTTCATATAACCCAGCGAATTCAATCTACACCTTTTATAGATTGGTTTGGCTCTGAAGAAACTGTTTGAGGATTATGTGGTTAAGCGTGAAGATTTGTTTATCTCTTCTAAGTTGTGGTTAGGCTTCATTCCTTTTTACCCTAGTTTCATCATTTGTATGTAATTTGCAGCGCCGTGTTGTCAAAAGATGTTTTGGATTTTGCAGGTCTGGTAATCACGCCCCAGAAGATGTGCCAGAGGGCATTGACACTACTCTTGAAGATTTGCAACTGGAGTACTTAGACCTGTTCCTTGTAAATTTCTATGCTTGATTGTCTATCCATTTAACAGTGAATCTACTGTGATATGCCTGTTCCCCCACGCAGTACCGAAAGTACAAATATGACTCACCTCTAAGCAGCTTCTTTGGCGTAAAAGATTGAGAGGGTCAAACAAAACCTAATAGTATTACATTTACTGAACGATGAAGTGTTGTTTTAACTGAATGAAGTGCATTCCTGAGCTTAGTGTGAAGTAAAAGTTGCTTTAACTCTATGAATGCCTTTTTGAAAAAATATATTGTGCAGATCCACGCTCCAGTCCGAACTAATAAAGGAGCTGTCCGAACCGCTGAAAACTATATTACTCTTGATGTCCCTGCTACATGGGGGGCGATGGAGAAGTTATACGACTCCGGCAAGGCTCGTGCAATCGGCGTGGGCAACTTTTCTTGTAAGAGGATGGAGGATTTGCTTGCCATTGCTAGAGTAACTCCTGCTGTCAACCAGGTTGAGTCCCATCCAGGTTGGCAGCAAATGAAACTCCGCGAACTTTGCGAGTCAAATGGTGTTCATCTTTCTGTAAGTTTCGAACATCACTAATGGACCAGTAGTTTTCCCTCTTCTTCTTCTTCTTTTTCAATAAGATACTGCCAAAGTTTCTTGAAAAACACTTCCCCTGGTTAGTTTACTTTAGGTTCTTCTCTTGAAAATCACTTCTCCCTTGGTTAGTTTACTCTAGGTTGTTCAATAATTTTTTTACTTTCATTTTGGCAGGCATATTCACCCTTAGGTAGGCCTGGATCACCTGCGTTCACGGGTCCAAGCTTTCTTAGCAACCCTATTGTCATCTCTATTGCCGAGAAGTTGCAGAGAAGTCCTGCACAGGTTGCTCTACGCTGGGGCCTTCAAATGGGTCAGAGTGTGCTTCCAAAAAGCATCAATGAAACAAGGATAAAGGAGAACTTTAACATATTGGACTGGTCTATTCCTGAAGATTTGATGTCAAAGTTCTCTGAAATACCACAGGCATGAATAAACTCCTCTATTTTCCTCCATGCAAAATTGCAAATGGTCCTTCCTATTTTTATTATGTTGGTTATATTGGCTTAGCACACCTTGATGGTAATATGCAATGTTTTGTCCTTCCAAAAAAAATCTTAAAAACATTAATGTTTTGTATCACTATTTTTTTAGAAACATAGTGCGTCAATCTATAGAATTACCTCTGATATTGGCTATTGAGATTGTTTTGGTCCTTTGTATGCAGATTAAGACTCTAAGAGCTGAATTTGTAGTTCACCCGCAAGGTATTTACAAAACCGTGGAGGATTTTTGGGATGGTGAAATCTGAAGTGTATGAAGTTCTGATGAAGGCATAGCATTATTATCATGCTAGCATAAATATCTTGCTTCTTCAGTTCTTCTCATTGGTTGTATGCAGATGGAGCTACTTACTTTAAAACTTCTGAGAATAAATGGCTTTTTTTATGGATGTGTGGACCAACGGATGGGAAGGCCGAAAAAATGCCTTCTTTTACTGATGGCTTAAAATAATTGCTCGATCATATATTTTTCTCATGTGCTACCATTTTGATTGTTGTATTCTTCTATTCGCAAATATTGTATTTGTTGGGGAACGTTGCAGAAAACAAAAATTTTCCTACGGTTTCACCAAGATCCATCTATGAGTTCATCTAGCAACGAGTGATCGGATTGCATCTACATACCTTTGTAGATCACGCGCGGAAGCGTTCAAAGAACGGGGATGAGGAAGTCGTACTCGACGTGATCCAAATCACCGGAGATCCTAGCGCCGAACGGACGGCACCTCCGTGTTCAACACACGTACGGTCAGCGTGACGTCTCCTCCTTCTTGATCCAGCAAGGAGGGAGGAGAGGTAGATGAAGATCCAGCAGCACGACGGCATGGTGGTGGATGCAGGAGTCACCGCAGCAGGGCTTCGCCGTTCTACTGCGAGAGGGAGAGGTGTAGCAGGGGACAGGGAGGCGCCAAGAGTCAAGGGTGCGGCTGCCCCTCCCTCCCCCCCTTTATATAGGCTCCCCAAGGGGGGG